TGAAATGTGGTTATGTGTCCTTTTGAGGAATCAGTGAATTTGTTCATTTCATTTACATTATTGAATTTACCAACATACAGTTGTTCATAGTATTCTCTGATAATCTTTTTTATTTCTGCAACCTTATTGGTAATAAGGTTACCTCTTTTATTTCTAATTTTAGCAACGTGAATCTTCTTCTGCTTTTCTTGGTCAATCTAGCTAAGGCTTTGCCAATTTTACTGATTTTTAAAGAACATATTTTGTTGATTTCCTCTATTGTTTGTATATTTGTAATTTCATTAATTTTCACACTAGTTATTATTATTTAATTCCTTCTATTTGTTTTGGGTGTATTTGCTCTTCTTTCTTCAGTGTCTTAAGATAGATAATTAGGTAATTGATTTGATGTAGTTCTTTTTCAATATGTGTTTGCAGGTATAAATTTCCCCATAACTACTTCTTTAACCACATCCCATAATTTTTGATGTATTCGACCTTCTCTTTAATTTGCTCAATGTATTTCCTGTTAATGCTTGTGATTTTTTCATTGGCTCTTTGGTTTTTTAGGTTTATGTTCAATTTCTACATATTTATTTTTTAAATTCACCTCTGATTTTTAATTTCTAATTGTATTCTATTGTGGTTGGGCAGCTTACTTTGTATATAACTTCCATGTTTTTAGGTTTTTTAGGTTTTATATGTAGTTTTTAAAAATACTTTCCAATAGATATTCTCAAATTGCCTTCCCAAACCAGTATATATCTTCACATTATATGATTGTTTAGATTATTGAAAGGATTTGTAGACAACCAGTACAAAAATAAAATGTTTTTTAATAATTCCCTTTCTGAATCTATTTAGTTACTATTAAAATCAGCTGAAATTATGGTACTCTTGTGGAAATTATAGAGTGATAATTAGTAGCATCACTTACATAGCACCACGATCTATGCAATATGCTGCATATTTAACATACGGTATCTCTAATCTTCACTATAAATTAAGAATTGTTATTTCCATTTTGCAAAGGAGGAAACTGTCTCAGATTAATTCATTAATTAATTAACTTGTGTAAAATCACATAGAAAATGAAGACTTGCGATTAAAACCCAAATCTATTTCTATCATCACACTCTTGTCTTAAGGTCAAGGAAAAACCATTAGAGACCAGGCTTTTTTTCTCATCTCTTCTTGCCTCTAATACTCTTAGGATGCACAAAGAATCATGTTCAGAATATTCTTGGGAGTCATAAAATTTTGTTTTCCATTTTTATGTTTACCTTTTTCCTATTCCAGAGCCAATTGCATCTCATAATTGGACAACATGCTTATTGGCTCCTTCCCAGGTAGATTTACTAATAGGTAGAAAAGATTTAGCTCCTGTTAAACACTTAATGCAAATGCATTGATGTCTTCATAATTCCAAACCAACTCTATTTTCTTTTTATTTGGCAGTTTCTGCACAAACACGGTTTTAAATGTGTTGCTTTTATTTTCTCCAAGTTTCCATCACATTATGTCAATGGAAAATAAAATTATAATGAAAGTGTATGTGAAGACGTTAAGCAGAATCAGAATAAATAAGATGCCACATTTTACAAATTACTTGAAAACTATGCCATTTTATTTTTTAAAAGGCACTGTGATTATCTTATTTAGTATTATTTACATGCTAAAATTTTTAATGGAATAGATTGTAACCTTCATTAGGGCAGTGACTGTCACATAATCTGTTTTATATCTTCAGTCTACAATCTTCTATCTACAATGAAGTTCTCAGAATCTAGTAGGTACTGAATATGTGTTTGCCAAATAAACGAATTAAACCATGAAATAATTTCTGAAAATAGTGTTTTTACAATGCACAACTAACTTGTACTACATAATATTCCTCCCGATGGTCTCTTTCAATTATCCTACAAATATTCATTATATGCCTATTATGTGCCAGATACTGCATGAGGAACTGGGGCCACAGAAGAGACCTGAGCAGAAAAAAAGCCAATTTTGTGGGTAGTGTCATTAAACAGTAACACAGATTAGATAAAATTCTAATAAATGTTTCCATGGAAAGCATATGGTGCTAGCACAGCATTGAACAGGGGGTCTGTGTCTAGTCTTGGGAAGGTTTTCCTAAGGAAATGACATCCAAGCAGACCCTTGAAGCAAGTAAGGGGGTATCGTGCCAATGCATTCTCTTAGTACTGCACAGTGGCCTTTGTGTTTAAAATACTGACTCATAGAGGCAAGATGGCTGAATTGAATCCTCCTCCACTGATTATCCTCCCCACAGAACACTAAATTGAACAATTTTCAAGACATAGATAGCACAATAAAATATAAATAGAAACAACAAAAAGTTAAAAAGTGGGGTGACTAAGTGTGGAATTTTTATTAATTTTCTCTTTGCTTATTTGTTTGTTTGTGTAAACAATCAATGGTAAGTAGTTACCGTTTTAAAATAGTGGGTTCCCCTTCTCCCCAGAGGTTAGTGCTGAGACTGCGGAGTGTGTGCTCCGGGCTCAGAACACACACTTATTATTAAAAATTCCAAAAAAAATCTTAAAAAATCTTAAAAAAAAAAAAAAAAAACCCAAATTTACAAAAACTCTGCTTCTCCCCCACTGGAAACTTTTTTTTCTTCCTCTTTTATAAAATAACCAGGTGAAGCAGCCGAGACAGACCTGCCCACCGGCGGCCCCGCAGCAGCTCCAAAAGGAACCAAGAGACCGAGGCCTTTCCGCTGCCCAGACCCGACATCGCCACCCTTGCTCCGCCGGCAGCCGGCAGTCCGCGGCAGCGGATCGACCCCATTCTGCCGCCATTGATTAGTTTTTGATTTCAGGTGATTTTTGTCCCTCTGCGCTTGCCCCCGCTCCCGCTCCCCTCCCTCCGGCCCCGCCCCCGCTCCCCTCCCTCCGGCCCCGCCCCCGCTCCCCTCCCTCCGGCCCCGCCCCCAGCCGCCAGCACTGGCTCTTCTCTCACAGAAAGGTCGCGGCCTGTGGCCCAGCAAGCAGCCGTGCGGAGATGAACCCCAGCGCCCCCAGCGACCTCATGGCGTCGCTCTATGTAGGGCACCTCCACCCCGACATGACCGAGGTGATGCTTTAGGAGAAGTTCAGCCCAGCCATGCCCATCCTCTTCATCCGAGTCTGCAGGGACATGATCAGCCCCCCCGCCCCCTCCCCCTCCCCCCTCCCCCTTCTCCCTACTTGAACTTCCAGCAGCCAGCGGACGAGGAGCGTGCTTTGGACACCATGAATTTTGATGTGATAAAGGGCCAGCCGGGACACATCACGTGGTCTCAGCATGATCCATCACTTCGCAGAAGTGGAGTGGGCAACATATTCATTAAAAATCTGGACAAATTCATTGATAATAAAGCACTGTATGATACATTTTCTGCTTTTGTAACATCCTTTCATGTAATGTGGTTTGTGGTGAAAGCGGCTCCAAGGGCTGTGAATTTGTACACTTTGAGACGCAGGAAGCAGCTGAAAGAGCTATTGAAAAAAATGAATGGAATGCTCTAAAAGATCGCAAAGTATTTGTTGGATGATTTAAATCTTGTAAAGAAGGAGAAGCTGAACTTGGAGCTAAGGCGAAAGAGTTCATCAATGTTTATATCAAGAATTTTGGAGAAGACATGGATGATGAGGGCCTTAAGGATCTCTTTGGCAAGTTTGGGCCTGCCTTAAGTGTAAAGTAATGACTGATGAAAGTGGAAAATCCAAAGGATTAGGATTTGGATTTGTAAGCTTTGAAAGGCATGAAGACGCACAGAAAGCTGTGGATGAGATGAATGGAAAGGAGCTCATTGAAAAACAAATTTACGTTGGTCGAGCTCAGAAAAAGTTGGAGCGGCAGATGGAACTTAAACACAATTTTGAACAGATGAAGCAAGAAAGGATCACCAGATACCAGGGTGTTAATCTTTATGTGAAAAATCTTGATGATGATATTGATGATGAAGAACGTCTCCACAAAGAGTTTTCTCCATTTGGTACAATCACTAGTGAAAAGGTTATGATGGAGGGTGGTTGGAGCAAAAGGTTTGGTTTTGTATGTTCTCCTCCCCAGAAGAAGCCACTAAAGCAGTTACAGAAATAAACGGTAGACTTGTGGCTCACCTTCAGTAACCAGGATATGCAGAGAATGGCAAGTGTACGAGCTGTGCCCAACCCTGTAATCAACCCTTACCAGCCAGCGCCTCCTTCAGGTTACTTCATGACTGCTAACCCACAGACTCAGAACCCTGCTGCCTACTATCCTGCTAGCCAAATTGCTCAGCTAAGACCAAGTCCTCGCTGGACTGCTCAGGGTGCCAGACCTCATCCATTCCAAAGTATGCCCGGTGCTATTCGCCCAGCTGCTCCTAGACCACGATTTAGGACTACGAGACCAGCTTCTTCACAGGTTCCACGAGTCATGTCAACACAGTGTGTTGCTAACACATCCACACAGACAGCGGGCCCACGTCCTACAGCTGCAGCTGTTACGGATCTGTGTCCACACTGTTCCACGGTATAAATATGCTGCGGGAGTTTGCAACCCTCAGCAACATCTTAATGCACAGCCACGAGTTACAATGCAACAGCCTGCTGTTTATGTACAAGGTCAGAAAGCTTTGACTGCTTCCATGTTGGCATCTGCCCCTCCTCAAGAGCAAAAGCAAAAGTTGAGTGAATGGCTCTTTCCTCTTATTCAAGCCATGCACCCTACTGTTGCTGGTAAAATCCCTGGCATGTTGTTGGAGATTGATAATTCAGAACTTCTTCACATGCTTGAGTCTCCAGAGTCACTACGTTCTAAGGCTGATGAAGCTGTAGCTGTACTACAAGCCCACCAAGCTCAAGAGGCTGCCCGGAAAGCCGTTAACAGTGCCACCGCTGTTCCAACTGTTTAAAATTGATCATAGAATGATAGAATAGAACAGAGAACACAGAAAAAAATCCATACATCTACAGTGAGTTCATTTTCAACAAAGATGCCAAGAACACGCATTGGGGAAAGGACAATCTCTTTAATAAATGCTGCTGGGAAAACTGAACACCTGTATGCAGAAGAGTAAAACTAGACGCCTATTTCTCACCATATACAAAAATCAAATCAAAATGAATTAAGTACTTGAATCTAAGACCTCAAACTATGAAACTACTAAAAGGAAACATTGGGAAAACTCTCTAGGACATTAGACCGGGCAATGATTTCTTGAATAATAGCCCAAAAGTACTGGCAACAAAAGCACAAAAAAAAGGTGGCGGAGGTGTGGACAAATGACGTCACATCAACTTAAAATGCTTCTGCACAGTAAAGGAAACAATCAGCAAAATGAAGAGACAAGCCACAGAATGGGAGAAAATATTTGCAAACTATCCCTGTGACAATTGATTAATAAACATGATATATAAGGAACTCAAACAACTCAGTAGGGAAAAAGCCTATAATCTGATTTTAAAATGGACAAAAGATCCGAATAGCCATTTCTCAAAAGAAGACATACAAATGGCAAACAGGTATATGAAAAGATGTTCAATATTACTGATCATCAGAGAAATGCAAATTAAAACTACATTGAGATATCATCTTACCCCAGTTAAAATGGCTTTTTATCCAAAAGAGAGGCAATAACCAATGCTAGTGAGGATGTAGAGCAAAGTGAACCCTGTACACTCTTGGTGGGAATATATATTAGTATAACCACTGTGAAGAATGGTTTGGAGGTTCCTCAATAAACAAAAAATAGAGTTACTATATGATCCAGCAACCCCACTGTTAGGTATATGCCTAAAAGAAAAGAAATCAGTATATTAAAAAATTGTCTACATTCTCATGTTTCTTGCAGTGCTATTCACAGCTAAGATCTGCAAGCAACCCAAGTGTCTATCACAGATGAATGGATAAAGAAAATGTGGTACATATATAAAATGGAGTACTATTTAGCCATGAAAATAAAGATATTCCATCATCTGCAGCAACATGGATGGAACTGGAGGTCATTATGTTAAGTGAAGTAAGCCAGGCACAGAAAAATAAACTTTACATGTTCTTACTTGTAAGAGCTAAAAACTAAAACAATTGAACCCATGGAGATAGAGAGTAGAATAATAGTTATCAGAGACTGGGAAAGGTAGTGGAAGGAGGGTAGAAATGGGAATGGTTAATGGGTAAAAAAATATAATTAGGTAGAATAAATAAGATCTAGTATTTGATAGTACAACATGGTGACCACAGTTAACAGTAATTTGTCATGCATTTAAACATAACCAAAATGGTATAATTAGACTGTAACACAAAGGATAAATGCTTGAGGTGATGGATACCCCATTTACCCTGATGTGATTATTATACATTGTATGCCTGTATCAAAATACCTCAAATACCCCATACATATACACCTTTGGTGTATCCCCAAAATAAAAATTTTAAAATAGTTATTTTTAAATTGACATGCATTTACAGATTAAATGGGGCATGCACTCTCCAGTTATCCGTGGCATCCACAGCCTTGTTGTGGCTAGTCCCTGGCCTGAGCATAAATTTATGTCATCTGCCTGGCCCCTGTAGGTCTCTGAATATAGGAATCTTGATGTAACAAAACCTTGGCCATTTAAAATTTTTAGTTTTTTTAGTCTCAACACATAGTACAAAAAAATGCATTCCTCATATTTCACTAGATGACACTTTTTGTATATATATGTGTGAAAAAACATGTTCCCACTTCTGATATATTTTATTGTTTTAACTGGTCACAGTCTAATAAATTTGTTTCGTGAGAAAAGGCTCTAACCTGTAGTTACCAAACAATCTCATAGTTTGAAAAGTCAGAGAAAAGAATAAACTAAATGCCTAATTGTTTATTGTGCACTAAATAATGAAAACTAACCATGAAGAATGAAGTGACATCTTGCTTTCCACTTCACGTCTCAAATTCTGAGAGCAGGACACCCTGTAATTCTTGTTCTCACAGCCAACCCTCTATATGATTAATAACTTTGACACTTGGAAAACTCTAGAGTAAGAAGTGATAACACTGACTGACAAAATTACCCTATTCAACTGCACATGGCTTTCCAACAGGCTCTTCTGATTGGGTTTTCTGCATTTCCACTTGAATATTGCAAGTTCAGGTTTAGAAGGTGACAAGGTAAGGAAAATGGAGCCCAGGCAGGCAGAAAGGAATTGTAGAATGAAACACTTGGTTGAGGATTTGGGCCAACAGGTCCTCCTCAGTAAAGGTGTTCTTTCCAAAACATTTAATTAATTATTAAAGCTCTGAAATAGGTCTTGAACCAGTGTTAACTTCCCTGGAAGCAGGAGTAGAGGCAGAGACACAGAGTCTGTGATAGTCTTCAGGGCACAGATGCCTATCAGGGGTTAGTTTGGGTGATTCCAAGGCAAAAATCAGCACCTGGAAGATGCCATTACAATCCACCTCCACTATATCTAAAAAATCTTTTTTATACATCTGTCCCATATTTCAACTGTCCCTTGTTATTGCATTATTTAGTGGGATTAATAAAGCTGGTCTAACAATGAGGCATCATTCAATAGCTTTGCTCTGAATAAAAATATAAAAGAATAGTATTTGGAAGGGATACTTTCTGGAGAGCTTTAGACAAACAAAATTACTTAATAACACTTGTGGAAAAAATTACAGTAGGTTACAAGAGTGGAGGAAGCCATGGTAATTTGGAAACAATGTATGTTCCTTAGAAACAGACTTCACTAATTGAAGACACTTGATTTTGTTAGTAATAATTGCAACAGATTTCCATGATGAAGCAGATGAAATGTTCCCATGCTTGGAATTTTATCAAGAATTGTTTTAACATGTTGCCTTATCCTTTGCTGATATTCTAGCGTCAAAATACAGTTTTTATTTGTATAGAATTCAGGATTGTTGATGCTAATTTAGACTTCTTCCAAAGGGGTTCAGCTACTGAAAATATCAGGACTTTGGTGTACACAGCCTAACCCATACCACAACAATGCAGCTTGTATTAAAAAACGATTTCTGCAGAACAACATTTTAGTGTAGAAATGTCACTTTCTGCTTAGCTATACGTATATAGATATAGATACAGGTACATATAGGGATATCTATATATGCATATATAAAATACACAATCAGCGTTTTGTGTCTCTCTGTGTGTGTGTGTGTGTGTGTGTGTGTATGTGTGTGTGCACGTGTCTCAGAGCTTTCCCTGGAGCATGCATAAGGTCCAACTTGACCTATTTTACATGGCTACAGCAATCTGTTAGCTTGGGCTCTTTGGCAGCCTCCCTGGATTTCTGGAGTTAAGTCCATCTGCTTCAGCTGCAATTCAGTGTTTAACATTGGTGTAACTTAGAAATATACATTCAAAACCAGTCTAGGTGTCTTCGCTTTATATTGAGGGACACACACTCCTTGTGTTGTTTTGTTATAACCCTCCTATAGAAGATGCACTTTGCTAAAAACAGCTTGAGACCTATCCATCATTGTTCTCAGGCAGTTTCTGTGCCTTATTAGTCAGGATAATTGAGAAGCAGCTGCATTTGTAAAACAAAGTCCACTGGCTGAGCTTCAGCTTCTTGCATCTATCCTACACTGGATGGCATTAGCGAATGGCATTGGTAGCAGATCAATTCTTGTACCCAGTAGTCTGATGGTTTAACTGCTTGACACGATAATTTATATGATCTGCAGAGGCGTCTACACCAGCATGGGGCAAGGCATAATGTTGTCTGGCTGGGACAAGTAGAGCCACTACTCCTGGAGAATATATATATTAGCTGAATTGTTGGAAGAGCTGTTTGAAAATTCTTCCAGGAGGGCTTAAGAGATGGTAATGGATTGCAGGCGTAATGTCAGATGGGCCCCCATTGTCTTAGCTTACAAGTCCCGTAGTTGGTTACAGATGAAAGTCCACAGAGATAGATGAGGAGATGAAAAGTGCTGGCTGCTTGAACCACTCCTCCTGTGAGCTCATTCTGTGCATAAAGTGAGAGAACACTTTAATGAAACCACAGACTTTAGGAGCCACAACCATGTGAGCATTCAGAATCAAGAAAGGCCTGCGTCTGAGACCACAAGCATATATGTGTGAAAAAACGTGTGATAAAAGCTTCTTATTCATTCCTCCTGACCTTCCCAGCCCCAGAAATAGAACATTCCACAGAGAGCACCATTCAGATATATTGAGCCTACATCCAACAAGAAATCATGCCTCATGACAGGCAGATTCTTAATGTCTGAGGTCAGAAGGTGAGGATCTAATCCTAGTCCAGCATGTTCACTTTCTGAGCTTCCATCTGTCAAACTCGCTGCCCCTCATATCACTTCCATGTCTCCAGATATTGTTGAGACTCTTCTTGCTGAGCTTCTCTCAGTCATTTTTCTTATTGCACTCTGATACTACTCTTTGAGTGATTACTAGTGACTTATAACTTTACCCTTTCATCAACTCCATGCCCAAAGCAACAGTGGAAAATTCATGGGATTTGGAGTGAAGCAGACTTAAATTTTATTTTTGTTCTCTTGTCTATTAGTAGTAGCAGCTTGAACAAGATGCTTAATTTCTCATCTGCAATCCTTGCAGGGTGGCTGGAAGAATTAACTCACCCCTTCAGTAAGCAAATGTTAATTAAGCACCCTAAAGTGGGAAAAGCAGAAAGCACAGTGCGTAGTGTGCAGTAAATACATGATAAATAGTAATTACGCTTATTTTTTGTGGAAAAAATAACAATAGAAATGGAAGTTACCTTAATTACCAGTCTGACCTAGATCTCACATCCTTAGTCACTTTATTCAGAGCTCAGTAAATATTGATCCATTGAGTATTGTTCCCCTGACTTTTGCTGGTCCTCTAATTTCTAGTTTATTCTCACTGTATACAGCATTTCTTTCTTGGCTTGGCTCCTCCAGAAT